TTCGAACCCGCCTGCTAGATGTATGTGGCTGGCGCCTTAGCCACTTGAGCCACGGGCTCCGAGCTAGCCTTTTCATTTTAAATTGATATGTCTAGCCTGATGGGATTCTGTGTAGGGAGCACCTATGTATAAACCAGAAGCCAGCACCACCTCTTTGAGATTTATGGTTTGGTTCTTGGAAGAGTTATTCTGCCTCTTAAGGGTACATTTTTAGGGTTCTAACCATTACAAGATCATGTTTTAAGCCTCTGTTTGTTGTCAGGGTAGAGGATTAATATTCATATAATTATAAACTTAATTATGATCATTAGCTAAATTATCTTTATAACCACCTCATTAATAATTAGTATGTGTGGAACTGGTTCTAGAGCCCCAGCTGAAGCCATTTTATTTTCATAGATGGTATTGCTACATATATTTTGGAGTAATATATTAATGCTTAATAGTTGTGAAACATATTTAAGAAAATAATATGTACAATATGATTCAGATTTTGTTAAATATATATAAGATGTGTGTATAAAGATAAGAAAGAAGGACTATAAGTAATGTAAAAAAATGTTAATTATGTTTTTCTCTGGGTGGTGAGACTTTATATTAGTCTTTTAAAAAAAATTTTTTTTTCCTTCAAGCCATGACTGTGTGATCAGGAAAAAGTATAACACCAAACATATGACCCAACCATGTAGACGTATACAAACAGATCTCTCAACTCCAATTGTAGTGGGAAAAACCTCTTAGATACAGTTGTCAGAAAATGGAGAGTTATCCCTATAAGCTTATAATCTGCTTATGGCATTACAAAGGCATTTGAGATGATACTTAATGGTGATGGAAAACCCTTAAAGATAGGAAATTGGAGGGGAAAGCCCATCAGAAGTAAAGTAAGATTGCAGGTTGTCTTCTAGAATACCATCAAGCAAGGTTTCTGTTCCTGTGCTTTTTGAGTACTGGCAGTTTTGTTTTCATTCACTGTATTACAATCCCTAAGAAGAATGTAAATTCTCCCAACTTAGACTGCCTGCTTTATGGAATTAAAAATGTCGGAAAAGAGTACTGCTTTTAGCCACTAACATATCCATATTAGAGAAACACCGAGACAATTTACCAAACTATCATCCCTTATATTTCTTTTAGAGTTTGATAAATGAACTCATAAAATGCCTTACCTTACTTCATTCTCAAATACTTGATACTAAAGATATTCCTTTTTTTAAAGTAAGTTTATTTCAGGTTAATGTGGGGGTATAAGCAACCAGGTCAAAATATTTGATTTGGTTAGGTAGAGTTCGTCTCGTGGTTATGTCCCACGCTATTCCCATCTTGTAAATGGGAAAACTTATCAGCACTATGAGTTAGCCTGAGTTGGAATTAAATTCAGTTTATTCCAGGCTAGGCATGGTGGGTCATGCCTATAATCCTAGCACTCTGGGAGGCTAAGGTGAATGGATTGCTTGAGCTCAAGAATTCAAGACCATCCTGAGCAAGAGTGAGACCTTCTCTCTAAAGATAGCTGGGCACCTGTAGACCTAGCTACTTAGGAGGCTGAGGCAAGAGGACCACTTGAGCTGAGGAGTTTGAAGTTGCTGTGAACTGTGATGCCACAGCATTTTACTCAGGGGACAAAGTGAGACTCTCTCTCTCTCAAAAAAAGAAAAAAATAATAATTTATTCCGTCTTTGACAACTTTGTTTGAGTACCTTTAATGTGCAAAATACTTTTCAGAGGCTGAAGGTAGAGAATTGAATAAGATGCAATTTCCACACCTTTGTATACTTTGGCCTCCCTGCTTGTGATGGTCAGAGCTCCTCCCTTCTTGGGCTCACTAGAGGTAGGCCAGCCATGTATTCCAGAGCACTAAAGAAAGCCACAGGGTTGGATGTCAGCCCCACCCTACTGGAGAGCCCCTTATTTCACCTCCCCTGCAATTACAGCCTTCTCCAAACAGCATCTCTACCTACATGGACATTCCTGCCTGACCCAGGGGTCTAGTGTGTGAGAATATAGGATTCCTCATCCCTGATCCCATTCTTTCTGCTTTTGTATGAGGTAAAAGACTAGACTTGAAATTAGGCCTTGGGCAGTATTAGGAAATTAGGTAACTATATTACTGCCTGTAGGCAAAGGGATTGCCCCCCACTATTTGGAGGCATCTGTTTCCAGGTAACTGGAAGTTAGCTTCACTGAAAATAGAAGCGGTGCTCTCAGAGGCCTTTGGTAGTGAATAATAGGCTAATCCTAACTCCCTGCAAAGTCTGTAGGTAGCCTCTCTTGAATTTCCTAAACCATTATCAGAGAACCAATCTTGGGACCTGATGTTACATGTTAAAAAGGAAGACTAGGGATATTATATTTCTGCTGTAACTGGTAGCTAGATGGTTTCCCAATAATTCAGCATTTGATATTTTAGTTAGAGAAGCACTCTTTCAGTCCAGCATTATTTCCAGTATGTACCTTTCCAATTCGGGGGAACCTGCAGCCTTCTGATTTCAAAATCTTCAAGATCGTTCTTTTTTTAAGCACTAAAGGAGGCAAGAAAAGATTTATCTTTCTCTGCTGCACCCCTTTTAATAAAAGGATTTGTTATGTAAAATTTAGATTCAGTCAAAAGGCAGAATTTAAGAATGAGGAACACTACAAGTTTCCTTAAGGCTGCGGGTTCCCCACCCTTCCCTGTGAGACTACCTGTTTGCATATTTCTCTTTAATAGGGAGAAGGAAAGAAAAAAATATCTATAGCAAAAGAGAGATGAAATAGATTTCATTCATTCATTCTGTAAGAAATTTTGAGTGCATTCTGTCTTCCAAGTGTTGTTCTTGTTGCTGTGGATGTGGCAGTGAACACTACAGATAAGGAGGGGAAGAAGTGGAACAGGTGTAAAACTGGAAAGTGCTTTGGTGGGGGTTGGCCGGAGGGGAAGAACTGAAGTGCTCGGAGAAGGCCTCTCAGACCTTACTTTTGAGCTAAAACCTGTATCACAAGAAGTTGCTATCCTTGTGAAGATCTATCTGGGAGAAGAATATCCCAGGCAGAGGGAACAACAAGAGACGTTGCCTTCAGGTAGGAGTGAATTTGGTGTAGACAAAAAACAGAAAGAAAGCCTGCATCCTTGGAGGTTGAGAACAAGGAGGGATATAAAGTTTAAGATGAGGTTGGAGGGGAAGGCAGGGACCTCAGATCATGAAAGGTCTTGTAGGTGCTGGTTTGTGGATTTTATTCTGAGCACAGTGTGAGCCACGCGAGGACTTTCACAGAAGAGTGACCAGATCTGGAAGAGTATCATCTGGCTGTAGAGACAGTAGATTGTGGAGAGCAAGAGCAGAAACAGGGCAGTTTGTTAGAAGGATACCACAGTGGCTCAGTGAGAGATGACCATGACTTAGATCAGGGCAGTGATAAGAACTCAGGCTCTGTTATGAGCAGGAATTTCTCTGGTTTCCTATGTATTTTTTCCATGAAATATTTAGGGTTAAATCAACTTTACATTTGAATTTAAATAAAGCAACATTTTGAGCTAGCACAGAATTCTATAATATCTAAAGAGTCCCTCTTTTTTTAATTACTGAAGTTTTTGATAATTAAGTACAGACTCTGAAACATCTCATTTCTTTTCTTTTCTTTTCTTTTTTTTGAGACAGAGCCTCAAGCTGTCCCCCTAGGTAGAGTGCCGTGGCATTACAGCTCACAGCAACCTCCAACTCCTGGGCTCAAGCGAGTCTCCTGCCTCTGCCTCCCAAGTAGCTGGGACCACAGG